GACAGGATCTCCCCCATATGTTGTTATTTTTAGCACAATATTTAAAGATTCTCAACAACAGGATCTCCCCCATATGTTGTTATTTTTAGCTCAATATTTGTAAAAGAGTTAAAGTCAATTTTGAGTTTGCTACAATCAATTAGCTGCGGTCACCATCTTGAATTGTGGTGACGTCAGAATAATGTTCATCCAGTGATGACTTTCTAAAATCTTCAGGTAAACTCATAAAGTGATTCATGAGATGTTAGCTGTCGAACAGTACTGCTCAAACAGCTAATATTAATATTTTAAGACAAAAATAATAATAATAAGTGCAATGTGTAGCAGTCGGAGTCTGTGTGGGAGATGACTCTCAGCTACTACCATATCAACTTTCAGCTCAATGTTTGTAAAAACAGCTGAGTTCCAACACATTTTGTGTTTCTTAAGGTCCCTTTGCCTTGGCGGACATCTTGAAGGTGACTCCAAAAGTTAACAAGTTAATGATTTATTTTTTTAAGAGCTTTATTAAAATCTGTGCAGTAGACAAACAAATGCACGTGCACAAATACACACGCAAACACACCAAAAAAAAAACAATATCACACTTTGACCTTCAGTATCAAACTAAATCTGTGCATATAAAAATGACAAAAATACATTGAACATTCTAATAAATGCTATTTAAACGCTATTAACTGTAAGTAAATAAATGGTAGTTAACGGATAAAAGCCAAACGATCACAATTGTCTAAATTCTGACAAAACAACTCGCCTCCAAAACCATCAGGAACATCTCAGCTAAGACTGAAACAAACGGTTGAAACTTTCCAAAAGTAGGAAAACTTAAAGCTGAAGTTCTGAGGATGATTTGAAATGAAAATAAATATAACAAAAGTTATAAATACTTATTCTTACTTACTCTTTTATATAATATAACCCAGTACATTTAGTTTTAAAGGTACTTTACTAATGAGCAGAGCATATATTATACAAAATATTTCTTCTGAAATTATTATTATATTAATACTACTAGGATTGTCTTAGAAAATGTTTTTTCTCATATGGATCTATCAGTTTCAAGACGCGTTTTGTTTACGCTGGATTGTTATCTGATATCTGAATATTTCAGTGGGAGTGCTGTTTGCTCACCAGTATAAGCTTCTGGGTTTGCCTGTCAAACAGTAAAAACGTGTTTTAAGGATGTTCACATGCAGAAAACACGCAAAAATGTTTAATCTGTGCACTAAACAGTTAAAATATACCATTTTGATAATAAAACACAATAACCAATGCCAGTCATTCTTCTTCGGCAGTTAAAACGAGTCGCTTTATGCGGACTCACAGCGCACCGTAGATGTCACAGCACCACCTAGTGGACATTTTTTGTAGGCTTTTAATGTAAAAACATTTCTTGTTCCTGTTCAGTTAAATGTTACATTTCTAATAAACTAGTTTGCAAAAACTGAAGGCAAATCTCAATTTTCTGTATGATAAACTGCATAAACGCTCCAGTCGTTACACTAAACTATCCCAATAAAAAGTTTTTAATGTTCTCAATTCCTTTAAAGCTGCTCGAAGCTCAGCAGGTTTTTTTTATAAAAGCTGGTGTAAATGCTTTGGAGGGCGCAGTAGGTGCACAGGGTGGTGCAACGAGCCGCTGCACCCTGAGCCATAACACCGAACGTAGTCGTCATCACTGACTGCCACGAGTAAACTGACCGCAGCACGACTCTGACAGGGAACCAGTGCACTGTGCTCCTCCGCGAGGTTAAAAAAATACGCCATCCCAACAAATAATCTCCGCACCGTGTCATGACATTCACGAAGCAAGGAAGGCGCGATAGGCGAAGCATCTTACTGCAAAGCTGAAAGCCACGTTACATAAAACCATCTAGAATCCCTCTTGAATGAATTTCACGAGAACCCGCTGGCTAACGGTAACAACAAGCCTAATGTTAGCCCTTTGATGAATCAATGCGAGAACGACAAGCTTGCAGGGGTAGACAGAGGTAAGTAAACGGCAAAATCAAATAAACATACAACCGTCAATCCAGGATTCTTATGTCAATGAAGATATAATTGAACTATTACCCATGGTGTCCTGTGAACACCGGCATATCAGGTGGGATTCTCGGTCAGAGGCAGATTGTGATGAGCTCCTCGGGTCCAGGCTAACGTTAACGTAGCCTGAGTTTAGGGTCTGCGGTTATGGCAGGCCGTTCTAACATATATTAAAATACCAGCTTTTCTAATCAAGTTGACCTTTTATTTCTAAATGACAGTAATTGAAGTGAAAAATATCTAAAGTTAGGAAATATTATATTTTAAGGTCTAAACAATTTAAAATTTTCAAGTAAAATTATAAACCAGTGTACCCAAAACGCTTCATATTTGAGAGTCAGAGTTTCTTTATTGCCATTCGCACCTCATGTGGTACATGTGGTGGAGCGAAATTATGTACACAGGGTCCCAGTTACATCCAACAATAAAATGTAAAAGAAAAACAGTAATAACATCTAAGATATGAACTAAGAAAAACATCAACTAAATATACACTAAGCACTCATAACATAAAAACACTACGTTGAACAGCAGCACGAACATGAGTCCGTGTGAGCAGATGAGCACGCATGAACACAGCAACATGAAACAGATCAGCAGCAACATGAAACTGATCAGCAGCAACATGAAACTGATCA